GTAGAAAAGGGCAATGGGGGAGCCAGGAGAAACCCAAGGACATATGAATACGCTACTCAATTATAGACTGGTCCTCAGCCTCTCTGGAAGGGGCAGCTGGAGGGGATCAGAAGGCATTACAGGGGGACCAGCAGTTAGCATAATGGCTATGTCGCTGGATTCCCATGTAGTCGCCCGCAGTTCATGTCCCAGACCCGGTGGCTTAAAACTCGCGCTGGGCGCGTGTGTGTGCATGCCCAAGATCCCGAGAGGAGAACGGAGGAGAAGGGATTGCGGTGTGGCCATCCCCCCTGGGGGGGTGATTTCTCGCTTTCTGTCTCTCTGTTTCTCTCTGTCTGTCTGGCAAGCGCACGCGCCCTATAGCAAAAACCTCTCCAAAAATAAAAAGAAAAGAAAAGAAAAGGAAAAGAAGGCATTACAGGGAGGAGCTTTCGGCTCAAAGAAGGGCTCAAGCAGAGAGGTTTGTATGCCGAGGCCATTACTAAGGGACATCGTGCATCAGGAAGGGATGACATTCTATTGGAGGGTTTCGATGGGCCTCTTCCAACCCAGAGATCCCGTGACACAGTGTGACGTAGATACTGCAGGGCGCGTAGCCTTTCCTGTCCACGGTCATTCCCACGGTCCTGTAAGGGAGGCAGGCTGCACGTTACCGATTTAGAAATTAGTATTCAGAGGGCTACTGGACAGATCCTGCCTAGGCCACTCTACTCGGCAAGCCCATTCGGTAGAATAAGTAAGTAAACGTTAAGCATTTGCTACCATTGCTGAAGGGGCGGAGCACCTGGTGGTTAGGGGCAGGCCCTGGACACATGGCCCATGCTTGAGTTTGGACTCTGTCTCCTTCTATGTGACTTAGGCGAGGTACTAAAGTGCCCCAGGCAAGGTACTGAAGTGCCCCCACTTCGGTTTCACCATCCGTCTGATAGAGGGTTATAATAGTTCTTATCTTATAGAGTCATGGTGAGGATTAAATAAATGAACACATGTAGAAGTGCCAGACTCAGTGCCTGGGGGGTGGGGGGGGCAGGGTTGAGTGTGCGGAGGAGTATCTTCAAAAAATTTATAAAAATGCCTTTTATGAAAAAATTATGCATGGATTTCAAATATTTTTTACACAATAAACTCGTACTTTACAGCGCCCCTCCCCAACTTTGTGAAGTACCTTCCTAGGATCCTAGCTGCTCGAATGTCACCCATGTACTTAATCACGGAACTACTGTGACATCTGTCCTCGACTCTCAGTCCGCCATCTAGAGTTAGGAGCCCAGGGTTGTAATCCTAGTCCCGGAGCTCCCAGTGGTGCAGCCCTGGGGAACCTACCCCGAGCTTTGCGAGAGCAGCTGGCGCTAAGGGAAGGCGCGGCTGCCAGGACTCCCCGCCCTGGGGCGGCCCAGGGGTGCGCGCGCGGGCCGGGGCGGAGTTCCGGGCTGGGCGCGGGAGCGCGCGAGCC